ATACATTAATGTTTACTGTGTCTGTCTTAAGATTTTATTAAAAAAAGAATTCGAAATATAGAACAACAGCTCTGACGTCCCATTACTAGGTATGTTTCTCTCTATAATATTACCACACTTGAAAAAGAGCTTGGTCTAACTAAATTGAAGTTTTTTTTCCTTGCACTAATATTGTGATTTGATCCATTGGTTGGCTCTTAAGACATCTTGAGGGTCAATATACAGCCATTAGAACAGAAACATTGCTCAAATTTCACAGTTTATTCAATTACGTTTATTTACTCCTAAAATATTAAAAAAAAAAAAAAACATAATAACTCCGTTATTGCAGTTTCTAAATAAAAATTTGTAGGTACTTGTACACCATTGAATTAAATAAAAATTGGACAAAACAATAAGTTCTTGTCACTCTGTTCCTAGTTGCTCAGAAGTTTCTTAAAAATAATAAATAATATTCTAATGTAAAAAGAACCTTATAGCGTTGATTACACAAACCTTTTTACATTGAGGTAGCTCCGCCGCAAATGTTACATAAACCTCTAAACGTCGCCGAGGTGCGCCGTGAGAAATGTCGCCAACTTCTGGAACACTGTCGTGTTTATGAGAAGGTAATTTCTGCTCTGGAAGCTTTTGTGTTTGTTCATGCAGTTCAGCTCTTTAAAACTGTAACGTAATTCTTCTATACTTTTTTTGTTTTGGAACCTCTATAAAGGGAAGAACATTATTAATAAATACAATTATTGTTCATTTTTGTTTATTGTTCTTTTATTATGAAACCTTCTTTATTTTATCATTGTTAAAATTATATTATAGAATTATGTATACGCGTGGACAGCGGGCACGATGCACTGGGCTAATACCGTAATTTTACCAACAAATTTCCAATGTAACCATTTTTAAAGGTCGTGTGTACCTACTTATTTATTTATAGGAACACCAAGAGCATACTGCATTATAACATATAGTATATAACATCAAATACAGTATGAAATGAAATAAACAATTTTAAGGAATACTTATATTTATTATTAATGTACTTGAGTTTAACCTTTAAAAATTATGAGCACTAATTGTATTGTTGTAACTTATGTAAAAGGCGAGTCCGTATGCACAAAAAACAGCCAGCTTTCTTGCAAACTAATAGCTAAATGCTAAACTTAATTGTAAATTATAAATAAATAAATATGTAGCTAATTGTCGTCGGTATCACTTAAACTATTATTGACTATTAATTGCCTGTAAGTCTCTCTAAAAACAGTACGTAACCGCTCACATACAGCGAATTCCTACAATACATTTTAGGTCGTCCTCGATTTTTATTATTATGGATGTAGTTTTAGGTACTAGTATAGTATTATATTATCTGCGATTTAGTTATATGTTTACTCTCTCTATTTTCGTCTCCTTATAGTAGCCTAATTAGGGTATAATCTCCTCTTACGTCGTCACTGGCATATCTTGTACAGAAATGTGGTTTTGCCCACTCGAGTTTCTTTTAAAGCTCTGAATATTATGGACTACAAAGGCATCTTTATTATGTATGCTTATACTTTCATGTATATTTAACTACATCATAATTGTTATAGCACAATACAACAGTACACTAAGAAAATAGAAGCCTAATTGTAGTAATCTATCGTTTTTGATACTTACATGATTTTTAGATACGGTTCGTAACCTAGTAAATAAACTAAGCAATATTGTTGATATATTGAGTATCCAGATCGAGCCGTCTCAAATGCGGTGTAACATATGTATGATGTTTTATTTGAAATAGCTACGATACCACAATGTCCCGACGCGCGTACCTCTCGTCGAGCTCGTCAGTTATTTTTGTTTTACAGTAACATAAAAATGTGAGTGCTCATATCTTTTTAGGGCTTTTGTGGAACTGTGAATCGTAAAAAATGTCGCTTTAATTTCCTATATTATGAGTTAAGAGTTGATTCGTATTTTTATTTCGCTTGATAGGACTTTTTGAATAACTTGTTATCTATTATTTATATACCTGACTAGGGATTTATGGCAAAAGCTAAAAGATACAATTTTCATTTTTGACATGTATTATTTAAATGCGAATAGATTTAAAGCAGTTGTGCCTCATAATACCATTTTGTTGACAATTGTTTTTAGCAATCATTATTGAAATTTGTGTATTATTTACAAAGAATAAGCCTCCCATACTTTGATTAGGGGCCACGTTTGGATCATCTCTCTTCTCATTTAAGAGGTTCCTTTTTTATTTTAAATTTTGAGGGATTTTAGTAAGTTAGTAGTTTTAAAAATTCTATATGTTGCCGGGTCCAATACTGGGTCAAGATATTAAGAATTAATTAGGTATAACAAAATATTCAGAATAATTCCGAAATTATTAAATACAAATTAATATTTGAATAACTCTGAGTGCCTTCTCGATTTCTCTTTAACAAATTTTCGACATATTTGCCGGTGGAAGTGATTCGTTTGTTAATTGGAATTCTAAAAATATTGGAAAATTAAATGAACAATATTATAAAAATTAAATTTACGTATGTATATAATATATGTATTCAATATTTTCCTAAATTTTATATTTACTAAATCAAATATTCCATACTTTTTATTTCGTTACTTAGCTGTTATCATAGCTGCGTTTGCGTAACAGAATCTATATATACTGATAGACTGGGTTTAAAAGTAGTCTATGTTCTTTATCTTCTCAGATACGATGTGCATATAAAATTTTATGATAACTCGACGAGAAATTAAGGCGCTAAAAGCTAACAAACAAGAAAGTAAATAAGCGAACTCACTTTCACATTAGGAATGCTAAAAGTAGCCAAAACATACATTTAATAAATTCCAACTGGTTACTAGTTTATATCAAATCATATCAGACTTTGAAATAATCTTTAATATTCAAAACTGCGTTTGATGAGATGAAATGTTGGTTCCAAATATTAGACAGTACTTATTTTAAATAATAAAATAAAAATAGATGGATTATCAGAAAAATATAAAAAAATAACAATTTCCGGTATAGTTTAAAGGCACAGAAATATTTTCGGTTATTAATAAATAATTAATTTACGAGCCACAAAAATGTAAAAACAAAATTAAACATCTGAAAATATGTAACTAAATAATTTTATAAACTGTGCAAAAAGAAATAGATAAAATATTATATTGCATATGTGCGAATATGAAATTTTACACGAAAATAACACAACTAAGAAGCCTCATGCATTTGACAGTTATTAAACGATTTACCAACGTCATTTCTACAATCAATGTCAATCAAAATGACATTGATGGTCTGTCACATTTGACTTGGCAGTAGAATGTGAAATGTTTAATTCGAAATTAATTTTGTGCTTGAAAACAAAATTGTAAAATATATTAAATTAGAATTTTGATGTTTGGGATACGCTTTTTTATATATTATAGTATATATTGACATCTAAACTAATATTAAACTCTTAATTTGCGAACCGTTACGTTTTGGAAACTTCTTTGAATCCTAACCAATGTTTTTTTAAGAAGAAGGTACGTTATACGTTCAGAAAATAATTAAAAATATGTGCTCGGAACACAATGACTCGCTGTAAAATAATTTAAAATCAATGGATTAATTAAAATCAAAGATATTGGATAAGTTCAATATATATAATTAGAAATTTATTTGAGATTAAAACAACCAGAATTTGTGTGTGAGTGTATGTATGTGTGCGTGCGTGCATGCGTGCGTGCGTGCGTGGGTGCTTGTTTTAATTTCAGCTGAGAAAAATCAAGAATATATAAGTTTCTTGCCTGTTCTTCTTCAGCTGAAATTGCATTCCAAATTAGGCGGTAGATTCATAAAGACATGACTATTCAAAAGCGTTGCTGTCAAAGTTTAATTAAGTTCATTTGAATAAAAAATATTTTTAATTAAGTATTTCAAGAAAACATTATACTATAACAGCAACACCAAAATACAGAAAAAATAAATAAAAGAAAATAGAGAAAGAATGCTAATTGGTAATTTTGTAATATATTTGACGGAACATTTTATTTATTGGAATGTTTTAACTATGTTAAATATAACGTCGGTCTTGAACAGATGGCTGCCATTGGGCGTATGTTTAACGATGGCTTCATTTTATTGATAAATGGTTTAACTAATGGTTTAGCTAATGCAGATGTTGATAGAGGATTATCTGATTTTCTGTTGAGTTTATCTATTCGAATCTTTTGTTTGACCATAAAGTTACAAAATTGTAAGATTATTTTTAAGTTAATAAGTGCGAGTCCGATTGTTGAATTTATTTATGTAATGAAAGCATATATTTAGTGATAAATTTATTTATTTATTTATTAAATAAAGAGTAGCCAAACTACACCTACTTTTAGAATTTCACACGTATTTTTATTTTTAAAGCATTAATTATGATGTGATATTAAGACAAAAATAGCCTTATTTTATATAGTATTGAAATTATTAATGTCAGCTATATTCACGTTTTTAAATTCAGATATGTAAGACGAGTTTCGAACTCAATAGAAGCCACTATTCATGAGCGCGGTTCATAGATTTGTGTGTTATTTTAGGTTTCCTTGGAGACTTTGTACAAAAGTCGATTGCTGGGGTACCTCTGTCCCATTCGTATTTCTACCGTGAAGCAGTTGTGTTTGCATGGCTATGTTCGATTTCGGTTTGAAGGACTGGATATGGCGTGAATTTACAGCGTACAGAGGAATAAAACCCGAGTCCTCAGGAATGGCAACGCATGGAGGGTATCATAGGCGAAATAGTATACTCTGTTATGTCCATGGTACTGCTCATATCTATAGGCGACGGTTACCACTTTCCATCAGGTAGGCCGTTAGCTTATTTGCCATTCTAAGTTGTATAAAAAAAATCAAAGAGTTGATATATAATTTGTACTCATGTACGTATATAATTCGGATGAATTTATATTTATTTTACGAATCTATTAAATATAAAAAAGTCTTACTAAAGATATATTTTTCTTTTTCAGGCAGAATAAGGTTAGGTGTGGGCCGTCAGATGTCGATAACCGAATTATAAGACCGAGCAAATAAATCGGTAAGTGACAATATTTTTTTCAGTCAAGTGTTCTCATATTATAACCAAGTTTTTCTATATAGACAATAAATGAGTAGGTATAATAAATTGCACAAAATGGAATAGAATAAGAATAAGTTATGTACACTTCTAATATCTAATATCTTTTAATTTTAATATCTATTAAAAAAACCGAAAGTAACTCTACTGCGATAACGCTGTGCTTGATTGATAGAGATAATCTTTTCTATTAAATTAAATAATATTTTAGTACCTTAATTATATAACAGTTCGTTAACTTCTTACATTAAGCTACTATTTTTTTTTTATTTATTTATTCATATTTATGTATTTTGTTTCCTAGTTAATTTCATAATAAGTTACGGTATCATGATGTAAAAATATTTTAAATACGACAATAAAGCAAAAATCAAACGTAGCCAGCGGTAAAAGCGGTTAGGCCCCCCTCATAGAAACAGTCTTGAGCCACCTGCATACACTGACTCCCTGCAATGTATTTGAGGTCATCGCTCCATCTAGTGGGGGTTCTCTGTCTCCAGCAGTGGACGGATAATGCCTGAAATGATGATGATGATGAATCAAATAATTATTACAATTTATTTAATTCACAAAATTTAAAATCATACGCTATATTTTTAAAAATTTTGATAAAATTTATACAGTGCCGCTTCCCTCTTGTTAGAGCGGCACAAAGGATATAGCATCTTCTATTTTACTCTCAAGAAATTCCATTCAACAGTAATATTAGCACAATTTCCTTGGTGCCGAAGGGCAGTAACATAAAGGGGATATTGCGATTTCACGATGTAATGTTTAAGCACGTACCTAGTACGTATAACGGTAGAACGCTATTAACAATTAGGCATGGTTAATACCGGCATCTCTGCGATATCTGTATATTGGATTCCCCTAGATATTAATGACATGAAAAAGGTCATCGTCTGTTCCGATATTATATGTTGAATAACCGATATTTAAATAAGTACTCTATTGTTTCTGCACCCTAATGGGAGATAAACGTAACATTATATATATACGTATGTATGTAATATATTTTGTATTGGACCAATATATATATATCGTAGATACAATATAGGTATTGTGATTATAGTATATAGATTAAGAATATTATATATTACCAATTGTTAATGTAGTAGAAATGTTATTGACAATAATATTATCATCATTGTTTACTCACTACATCAAGAAACAAACCTGAGTCATCTCTTATGAAAAGAGTAATACAAAAAGCTATTCGATAATCATTAAGCTATCGATAAAGTACCATATGTGCTAAGTTAGAATATAACCTATCCATGTACCAAATTTCATTCAAATCAGTACAGTAGTTTTTGCGTGAAAGAATACCTACTATCTCTCCATCCATGTATATATACAAATTTTCGCATTTGAGTAATATTATTAGGATTGGTAAGGATATAATTTAAAATATGCACACAAATAAATAAAAAGTCTATTTTAAATATGCAAAAGGACTTATACAAATGGAGCAGTAAGACTATTTTCAAATTTTGGGCACATTTAATTTTTTTTTTACAACACAGAGGGCAAACAAGCATGTCGCTCACCTGATGGTAAGTGACTACCGCCGCCCATGGTCACCCACAACACCAACGGCATTGCAGGTGTGCTGCCGGCCTTTTAAAAAGGAATATGCTCTTTTCTTGAAGGTTATGTTGTCGTATCGGTTCGGAAATATTGCTGCTGGAAGTTGATTCCAAAGAGTGGTTGTGCGTGGGAGAAAGTGAACCTTTTATTTATTATACAATAAGATTGATCATCAAGATTTATTATTTAACCAATCTTAAATTTGATATTGATGGCATTAGTATCTAAATGTTGATATATAGATCTATAAATTCACACCATAAAGGTTTCTATGCACTATTTAAGATCGAAACTCTAAAAATAGTCAAATTGTGAAAATCTGAATTACTTAAAAAGTGTAAATTTAGCACACTGTGTTCAAGTGTTGCTAGAAGTGACAACGCTCAGGGCCAGAATAGAAGCAATGACGCGATTTGAGAGGCGAGAGTCATGTTACCAAAATTAATGTACACAAATATAGGACAGGATTATATCCTTAATTTTTCGATTACGAAATGCCTACAATAAATAATGCTCATTTTTTATATAATAATTTATGTATTCGCTTATTGAAAATTTATGATTATGATAATAAGCACAGGGAGAATTGTATAATGATGCAGAACCACATATCTATACAATCCTTACAAATATTATAAAAGTGAAAGTGAGTTTGGTTGTATAATACCTCATAGCGCTTTATCGGTTTAATCAATTACTATGTAATTTGATATAAACGGAACCTTAACCATCCCATGGAGTATGGAGATGTTCATTCATTGGGATTAACATGGCCTATATCCTATACATAAGCTACTTTTTACATGAATGAACATATCCCGGTTACACGGACGAAGTCGCGGGTATAAACTAATGTATAATAAAAAAAATATATATTAATAAAAAGTTTTCAGGTAAACTTGTTCTTTAATGGGTAATACGAGTATAAAATTCGAGACGTCCCTCGTTATTCCAAGATATGGCAACACTAGCAGCTGATGTTTACACCAAATCCTCACGGATAAGTTTGAAGAGAAAATGTTTTCGATTCCAACTGGCTACAATTTAAAGGAAATCCGGGGATGTTGCAATTTGTGCTCGCCGAGATTTTATGAAATCGTTTTTAGAGTGCCGCTACCCTACGAGAGGAATCTTTGCGTAGTTGTTCCGGGGGCTATCCGTCTTTAAGTCACACTCGTCGTTACCGGTTTGATTTTTGTGGGGATTTTCGTTGGGTGGTTTTATTACAATAACACAGTACGATATTACCGTTTCAGTACAAGGAAATAAATAAATAATATAAATAAATAAATTTTATCAATGTATATGCAGTAATCGAATACGTCAAATTAAAAATAAAATTTATTTAAATGGATGATTTCCAGCTTGTGCCACTTCTGTTCAACTTCGATGAACTTTCCGGCTGTGCTTTCAAATTCGAGTGCCCAGAAAAACCGATGTCCCTGGAATATAGAAGGAAGCATTATATAAAATGCTTTCCGGGTATATCAACATAACTGAAGACTTGAAAGCAAACAAATAATTGAAATTAAACAGAAACTGCGCTTATTGAATATCACACAATAAAATTAATTTTAATAATACTATGAAGTCAATGAAAAATATAGAATTATAAAAAATCATAAGTTATTGTATAAGCCTATTATCTAAAAACTGTTTATCGATTATATAATATTATTTAAAATATTTTTATTATGTCTCATTGTCTTTATTAAAATGTTTTTTTTATACAACTTAGAATGGCAAATAAGCTGACGGGCCACTTGATGGAAAGTGGCAACCGTCGCCTATAGACATGAGCAGTACCATGGACATAACAGAGTATACTGTTTCGCCCATGATACCCTCCATGCGTTGCCATTCCTGTGGACTCGGGTGTTATTCCTCTGTACCCAGTAAATTCACGCCATATCCCACCTTTCAAACCGAAACACAGCTATGCAAATACAACTGCTTCACGGTTGAAACACGAATGGGACAGAGGTACCCAAGCAATCGACTTTTGTACAAAGTCTCCCTATAATACATGCAACCATTTTTGTGACGATTATCGTAGTGGTTGCGATAAATTAAAAGGGGTGATAATGGAATGATATCACCACGTTATCATTACATGTTGTTAGGGTACCAGTGAGGGATGATAAGTGAGGACGAAGTCAGATTAGTTGATCCATCGTGATGGATTTACTAGGAATTAACCATGTATATGTATGTACTTGTATATTATAATAGTATAGTGTGTAGATACAGATGTATCTCGTTGAAATAATAATAAACGGTTATTATTCAACAAATTTTATAGTAAAAGAAACATGTATATTGTACTTGGCAATTCAAACTGGTTTATAACAATCTGTTACTTCTCTGTTCTTATGAAGTTTGTTAATTAAGATGCCTGTAAACAAGTGACTAATCTCACGATCGCTTGTTCCATTCTCCTTTCTTCGAGGCGCTCATAGTTGTTTTTCATTAATTCCTTTATATTTGTAAATGCCTGATAGCATGGGTGTCGCCATAATTATTTCAGGAAAATGCTTCTGCATCTACACTCTATGCTATCAATCAATCAATATATATAATTAAATTGTAACTAGTCGCTATCTGTACATAGAAATAATGACATCTCTATGAACATATATTCATTTATCTATATAGGTAGATATATTGTATGTATATGTGTATGTATGTGTAAGTATATGCATAGATGTAGGTATATATTTATGTATATGTAGTTGTACGATAAAATATAATGTAATTAATTTAATTTTAGCTGTTTAAAAATTGTACACTGCTGTATCCGCTGACATTGATGCTCCTTTCCACTTTGGGTTTGTTGGAAGAAAACTCTATCAGAGTTAAGCTCGCCTTTGTACTTTTGTTTACCTCTGTCATATTTTTATAACTAATGTGTACAATAAAATATTAAATAAAAATAATGATTTTTATAATTTTTGTCTGTTTGTACATTTGTCTGTACGTTTGTGCACGCTAATCTCAGAAATGGTACCACAGATTTGAATGTGGTTTTCCTTAAAGCGTTGCAGCTTGTTTTACTTAAGAATTACTATATTTTTTATTTCAATTGGTTTATAAATAAAAAAGTTATATTAATCTAAAAAATCATTCATAAAAAGCATATACTTTATATATTGATTCATGCGAGTGAAACTGCGAGATACTGCTAGTTAACTAATACAATATAAATTTTAAATATATGTCTTATAACAAATTTTATTGGCAACTTAGATGTCTTAAATGTTTATTCAAACAGTAACTTAAAAAGAATTCTTAATGTTATGTATTTATTTTCTTTCCTGACAGGGGAGTACAGATGCATCTCCTTGCACCCTACTGCCGGCGCTCATGACAGT